CCTCTGGCAGCCTCTCAGCCCTGCCAAAACCATGTTCATCAACCTCTGTATGGCCAGCTGTACACCAACACTCCCAGGAGTAGGGCAGCACAGATGCCAGGCTGAAGACATAACCGAGTCCCTTATCTGGCCTTCCTAATGGGGCAGCTGGTGCTGATGCTCCTGGGAGGGCGGGGCTTGAACCCGCAATCCTGATGGAAAGAACCCATCATCACAAGGAACTCTCCCTTCTCTCTGAGTAGTGGGGGCAGCCAAGTATACCAGCAGTAATGACGGAGAATGCCACTAGCTGCTTCCCCGTGCCACTAGCTGCTTCCCCTGCTTGCCTCACCGGCAGAGGCAAGATTCTCCCATCACTTTCTTGAGATGAGCATATGGACAGAGAACTAATTTCACTGGTCCTCTTTTAGACACCGCTCATTTCATAGGGGTTTCCCATTAATTATCTCTGACAATATACAGGTGAGTAAAGACCAATGAATGGGCCAAGGAGGAGACTAGTGTACCAGTGGCAGAAAGCCTGATTGTAGTTTAATGGCATTTTTACATTCCTATGCCACGACAGTGGTACGGGCTAGAAAAGTATTTTTCTTTATCTTAGGGTCCACCAGAACAGAATAACTCTGCTTCTTGTCATGCAGGTACAAGTCAAGATTTTAGGCTCATATCGCTGGTTGGTGAAAATTATCATAGAAGACAATAGAGCATGACAAATTATGTCAGCTGAGAATTCACCCCTTAATCTATAAAGCTGTATATAAATTGGAACATGAAAATGGAGCCTTTCTAGGTCAGTCCCATTTGGACTGCTCAGATCAGCTGAGCTGCTTCTGGTGACAGTCTCTTGGTATAGACTGGAGACAGGAAGAAAAATGGCTTCAGTACAGAGTGTCGCTATTTCTGCAGATCGGTGATCTCTCAAATTTGTTTTTCTGATGAGAATGATGCAATGATCATTTTTATAATCAATCTCCTATTTAATCTAAGCCATTTCTTTCTCTACTGTTATTGTTTACTAATGGATGCTAACTTTTATGATGTGAAATGTGCCCAGATGCCACATTGACTGGTGAACTTTCCAGCATCTGGTGACATGTAAAATAGTATTATTTGCAATGCATTCAGAACGACACCTGTGTTTTGTTTCTTTTTGTGTGTCAGCTGGTTTTTTTATAAAAAGGAAAATTGTCTTAACCTCAATTCTGTTTTTCTTACCAATCCCTATAGCCTATGCTAATCACTCAGGCTGATGGAGGTGTTTGATACTGGAAAGAATTTGGAAAAGATAGAAGAGAACGATTTCTTAAGTGCAGATGCATTAGAATATGTCTGGAGCTTTGAAACCAAAATGAAACTGTTCCACTTATGATGTTTTGTCAGTTTATTTTGCTTTGTGGGAGGTATCAAAATCACTCCTTTCACTCAATAACTGTCCGAGAGCCTCAGAGTGCTTTCCAAGTCAGTACATCTCATCTCCATTTCACCGATTAAGAAGCTTAGGCATAGATAAAAATGGTCACCCCAGTTGAGAGGACCAGGAAGAGACTTTTTTTGAGGGTTAAAACAGGGTTTAAGTGATGTGCAGACTTTGTGCTGGTCCTCTGCACTAGAGAGAATTTTCACCTGGAGAGATCAAGTGACTTGCCCATGGTTACAGAGTGAAATTCAAAGTAGGCCACAAGTTTGACACAGGTGTGATATGCCTCTATTCGGGGAAGAATTTCTCTCACAAGAAACTAGCAGCAGGAGCAGAATTCATCTGCTTATGCCTAGTTTCCTGCATTAACCACTGGGAAATACTGCCTTCTATCTCCTACACCACACTGTACTGCTCCTCTGGAGCGTTTCCATTTGTGTGTTCTCTGCTACATTCAAATGCACCCTTTTGCTAATAGATGACCAGTGTGTGTTTGCAGTAATTACAGAACATGTTGTCCTTTTCATTTATGTCTGCACAATCCAGTTTGACATCATGTCATAAAAGTTTATGTGCTGTGTTCTCTCCGCTCCTTGCTAATATCCTTGGCATTCTCCCTGGCTATCCAAAATCAATACCATTGCTCCTCTCTCCATAAAATATGGAGTGTTGAACAGGGTCCAAATGTGCACACTGACAATTTGCAGCAATTAGATGCAGTGCTAACAAATGGCCATCCCATGGGTGATAAAGCAGGACCAGAAGGATCACTGATGTCATACACTGGGGAACCTGGAAATAACCGGTACTTAAAAAGAGTGGGTTCAGCCTCTCTTTCTTTCTCTCTGGACTGGCATAGAAACAGTGAAATCAGGACAGAGAAGCTGAGGCATTCAAATTAGGAACCCTGGCGATCAATTTTTACTCGCAGCTGGTGGATTGTAATCAATGTTAATTAACCAGACTCCTTTTCAGAATGGGATAGATCAGGAGAATAACTGCATATATTTTTGACAAAGACAACTGATTCTGCAGGTCCTCAGGAAGGGAGAGACTGATGACTCTGTAAGCACGAACGGAATACAAAATTAGGAAAAACAAAATGGAGTATTTTAATGTCCCTTAAGAATGCAAGTGTCTGGAAATGGGTAAACAGGGAATGAATGCATCATTCAGGGGACTAACAATAAATGGGACAGAACAACTTTTCATTTTGTTGTCCCCTGTTCTTATTCAGCCCAAGTAGCTAGGATCGAGAGGTGTTTCTATTGTCCCAATGACCTAGTGGAATAAATCTGCTGGTCACAGTCAAGCTCTTCAAGGAAAAGTTCCAGACTCCAAAGCAGTATCTCCAATTCTCAACTCTTCTGGCTTTTTTCAGAAAGACCCACTTTTTAGCTGGGTGTGAGCAGGTGAGACTCTCGGCTTTCATCTTAATACAATAAGTTTTGAGCCTTCATGATTGCAGACTAAAACTTGCAAATCTGACTCAAGAGCACAGAAAGAGACTCCAAATATATCATTATTGGTTGTGTTTTAGTCCAAGGAATTCAGGGGACCTGAATCATGATTTTTTTTGAGTGATTTTGAGTGTCAGACATGCTGCAGCTTTGCTTGAAAAAAAGACCAAGGACTAAAAAAATGTCCTGCCAGATGGGTAGGGTGAGGAAGTTCATGCTTGAAAATTTCGCAAGGCAAGAGAGAGGAAATATACTACGAAGCAGAATTTATATACTCACTAATATGCAGATTTTCTGGTTGTATTGATCTGTGAATTTTGTAAATAAAGTTGTCTTTCCAGAAATGTTTTACTAGAATAAAAAAATGAATTCTACATAATGCTGGAAACTATTATTATTGCCCATTCTTGGCAAAACAGCACCTAGCACAATAGGCTCCTGCTCCATGACTAGGGTTTCTAGGCACTACTCCAATACATAGAATAAATAATATTCTCTAAGGTTGAGAAATAAAATAATAATACAGTTTCCAGTGCTGCAGAGCACAAGAGTGGACTTCTGACTAGTGTGTTGGACTGGGCCTTAAGAGATATGGATTCAATTCACTTCTGCTACAGGCTTCCCTTGTGAAATGGGGCGAATCATGTAATCACTCTGTGCCTCAATTTCTCCTCTCTACAATGAAGACAGCAACACTCCCTTGGGCTGCCTCGTTGTTCAGACTGTAAAGACATTAGGGAAAAGCCTGTGTCTGTCTTTTGCTCTGTGCTTGCACAGCACAGCGCACCATAGGGGCTCCAATCTCAGTTGAGGGCTTTAAGTGCCATTGAAATACAAATAGTAATCCCCCCCCATGAATTTCATATGCATAGAAAAGTGATAGGTAATGTTACCTAATTTCTCTGGAGACCACCCCAGGGTTACACTTATATTGATTTATTCAATGCTGCTATTGGATCAAGCGAAAAGGAAATAGGACGTCTTCACACATGCGCACATACATTCATACACTCAGACACCCAGATACTTACACATGCGTGAGTTGCGCAGAGAAAGCGGACGAAGCCAAGCATGGTGTGTCCGGTGAGTCTGCCTGCAGTCACCAATCCGGGCACGCAAGCTGATCGTATGACCCATGCTCTCTTCTCTTTATTGAGCTGACAGCCCCGGACACGTACCCTGAGTTCTTTTTCTGTGTCCATCGCCGAGAGGCCAGCCCACACCTCATTTTCCTCGTGCATATTAATTGCTTCTTCTCATCTTCGCAGCACCTCTGTTTCTTGTCTTTCTCATGTGCAAGCGAAGATTACATCAGACCCCACCTTGCCCCTGGCTCCTCTTTGTAGCCTCTTGGCTCTCTCTACAAAGGAGCAGACATTACCCTCTTCACACCACTTACACACCCTATTCACACCACTTACACACAGCCACACGCTCCCTTGTCACAGGATAGACTGTTACAGATCTTAAAGATTATACAAGCAATAGCTGGAAGTTACAACGCTTACAAGAAGTTGCAGAACTTGAAGCTTTACATTAAAGTTATATGGCCTATAATAGAAACTGACATAACTTAGAACTGAGATTTACATGGCTTACAATAGCAGAGAGCCACCTGACTGCCAACAGCTGAAACTGACATGACTTATAATACAAAATGTTACATGTTTTTCATTCATATTATACTGGATTGGGTGGAGGTTTTACACAACAGGTAATCTGAGATTTCTATAATTTATTATTTAGAATTTTTCTTTCTCAATTTACAAACATTTCCTGAAGTAATGAGAAATAAGTTACACAGAGGATAGTGTTCCCATATACTACTGTTTCATGCACCTTTGTACAATAGTGTCTTTTCATTGCTAGAAGGAGAAAAATATAGTCCATGTCTAGCAGTGATTGCTGTAAGATGTGGCAGAGACATCTGTTATGATTTACCGAGCACTGCTACAGTAAGTTATGGTGTAATAATACAGAAAGGGATTCAGAGGTACAGAAGTGACCATGAAATTGGGAAACCTTTCAATGTGAGGCACTTGTCGTCATTCCCATTTTCACTGAGATGAAACTACAGTAAACCGGAAAAAAAAGAGGGCCTAATATTCCATGCGCCTATTTGCTGACATGGGTGTCAAATTTGGTGCCTCAGGGAAATGTAAACACTCTGAGCCCAATGTACTCTTGGAAAAGCCAGTAGACGGTCTATGTAAATAAAGGCACACTTTTTTCTTAAAAACTTGTCTCCACCCTTTTCATAAAACAGAACATCTAGTTCTTCGAGAGAGACGTCGCTGTAGGTGCTCCACAGCAGATGTCAGTGCATTCCAGTGCAGCAGACCAGATACTTCGCAGAAGTGTCTAAGGGGCCGCACCTGTGCGGGAAGCAGGGTGCATGAGCACTGCATGGTGCAACTGCGTATGAGCAGTCACCCTCCCCTCAGTACCGTCTCATCGTCCCTGGCTTAGGACAGAGCTCGGCAGTGCTCTTCACTCAGCATTGTTCTATGTAGATAAGTAGTTCATTGTCACCTGTTTCTCATTGTTCTTCCTTTAATTGGTCTCATCCAAGATCCTTTCCCTTTAAAAAAAAACAGCCTGTTATCCAAGTTGTTTCCCCCCGTTACTCTGGTCTTGCCTGTTTGCACAGAAATGCCTGGATCACCAGGATTTAAATGCTGCTCTGCCTGTAATGATGTGATGCCCATCTCTGACAGACATTCGAAGTGTGTTAAATGCCTAGGCAAGAGTCATGTGCAGCAAGATTGCCACCACTGTGCTAAGCTTAAGGCACATACATTCAGGGATAGAGACCTCTGCCTGAAGTTGCTTATGCTTGAAAAAGCACCATGCCCTGCCTCTGATCCTGGCACTCAAGGGCTCAAAAAACAGAAATCTGACAAGTGGAAAGAATGCCCCAAGAAATGCACCTCCTCTCTACTTCATAAATCACAGTCCCAACATGAGCTTACAAACATCCTACAGATCACCCTTACTGCAAAGATTTCACTCCCCATAAATCCTGCTATCATGGTGGACCCCATGAAAATGATTTGGCAGACCTCTGCAACCATACCGCCCACCTGCAAAAGAGTTGATAGAAAATACTATGTTCCCCCAATGGGATCTGAATTTCTGTTCACCCACCCACCACCTATCTCTTTGGTAGTCAAAGCTGCTCACTAAAGAAACAAACAACATCAGCTATGATCCACCCCTGCCGACAGCAAGAGCTCTTCAGTAGAAAGATCTATACATCATCCACCCCACAGTTTAGAGTCACCAATTATGCTGCATTGCTCAGTAAATACGATTTCAACAATTATTTGAAATTTAATACATTTATTGATGATATACCCAAGGCAGAGAAACAACAATTTAAGGCAGTGATGGCTGAAGGCCGTGCAAATTCTTGTACAGCCTTACAAGCTGCCTTTGATGCCATTAATACAGCCACTAGGTCAACAGCCACGGAGGTCATCCTGATAAGAGCCTCCTGGTTTAATTCTTCAGTGTTTCCCAGGGAAATACAGTTCACAGTGGAGGATCTGCTGTTCAAGGGCAAGAGGCTTTTCTCAACAAAAACCAACAGTACGAGGCCTTTTAGAGCTTCGCTCATACTCTTCACATACATAGCAGAATGCAAAAAAGTATATCAGCTATCCTCCCAAAGACTGTCATCAGATATCTGACTGCTTAGCCTGATATTACTAGCACAACCAGCTACCTTCATTTGGGCCCATTCTACTAGGGCCATGGCCACATCTGTAGCTTACCTCTGCAAGATCCCTCTTGAGGACCTAGCGCTCCAGCTACATGGACTTCTGACCAAACATTTGTGAAGCACTATTCACTTTCTCATGGACCTCTCTCCCCAACAAGGGTCACCAAGGAGGTGTTATCTACAGCTTACCTGCCAGATCTGAAGTCCCATCATCCTTAGGATACATTGCTTTGCAGTCACCAGCTGTGGAACACCCACGGGGACGTCTCTGTCAAAGAAAAGGAGGTTACTCACCTTTAGCAGTAACTTTGAGATGAGCATCTCTGTGGGTGCTTCACTACCCTCTCTTCCTCCCTGCTACTTTGGAGACCTCTTTTTCTACAAGTTGATTTCCAGGTAGAGAAGGAACTGAGAGGAGGGTGGCCATGCATGCGTGGTTGGACCACACGGCACTTGCATGCCCTGCTCACCGCAGATGCATGGCTCCCTAGGCATTGCTGTGAAGAATCCGGTCAATGGCACTGGGACACACCGACACCTGCTGTGGAGCACCCATAGGCATGCTCATCTCAAAGAAGTCCATTACTGCTAATGGTGAGTAACCACCTCCTCTGAGTGAACACATTGGTCAGGAGGTGTTCCAAAATATAGGGTTTAACTAAGAAATGTGTACATAACAATTATTCAGGAGGAAAAAATCATATCTACTTTGGGAGCAAAAGCCTTCAATTCTGAATGTAGACTTTGTAAACAAAACAAAAAAAACGGTTTTAAAGAAATATATTAGTGAAGAACCCTTGGCTCTTGTTAACTTTTGCTCAATACTGGTCTTAAAGCTTTAAAATTGTGTCTCTAGGAGGTACTGTGTAATAACCAGGGTCAAAATTCATCATAGAGGCAGCAGTGAAACTGCTTAAAGGTGACAGGAAAGAAATGGGAATACACAAGTTCCTGCATTTATTTCTCCCTGGCTGGCTTTTTATTGGAAAGTCTAGTAAATAATTTATACCACTGAATTTTATTCCTGGAACTCAGTCATATGAAAATGTGTGAAATAGTTGAAACTACAGCATCATTATACAAGGGGCTTCTTTACATCTTACTCTGTACAAAGCACCATTTCAGCTGAAAAATGCTAACTTGCAATAGCCACAAGTGTGAATTTCCTAGCATACCTGAAGGGCCTTGTGTCCAATATAAAGGAATAATGTCAAGGTAGTTAGGAAGCTGTGCAAAAGGCTGAAAACAAAAACATTTGGAAATGGTCTGGTTTCTTTTAAGACTCAGTAGTTAGCCCAGCTTCATGAAAAGTTTTGTTAATCTAGGTCCATGTTAAAGCCAATTTATGATTGTGTGCTGAGGACGTTAAACCAACAGAAATTCAGCTGTTTTAAATAGGTTTTAATTTGAGACTTTGGGCTCTTGTGAAAACCAGCAGTATGCAGAACATGTTACACTCTGCCAGTTGTACACCCTCATGCCAGTTCCTTAAAGGGTCCATTTCACCTACTATACGTTGGAGCAGGGTTTTTGTCAGGTAGACAGAAAAGTGACTTGGAGTCATCTTTACTTCTCACCAGTACTGTTGAAAACCAAGCCATTTATGTCCACTGGCATTTTCACAGTAAAAGCATCATTTTCCTTGCCATAAATAACATTTTCCCACTTTTTTTTTCAGAGTAATCTAAAGCAAGAATCAGAGGGGTCGCCGTGTTAGTCTGAATCTGCAAAAACGACGAGGAGTCCTGTGGCATTTTATAGACTAACAGATTTTGGAGCATCTGACGAAGTGGGTCTTTGCCCATGAAAGCTTATGCTTCAATAAATCTGTTAGTCTATAAGGTGCCACAGGACTCCTCGTTGTTAAAGCAAGAATGAATGCCAATTCCCTTTCTCACCAATGTTGTTGTCACACAGCTCTATTTACAACCTAACCTGTAACTGTTTCTTTGTTTTCTATAAGGTAATGATCTCAGACCATCTTTATTCATCTTTGCTGCTACTGAGTAGGTTAATTTCCACAATTATGGTAGCAAGAGCTACCACATCCTTGAGAGACTCAGTCTTAAAGGAGGCATAGCAGCTTTAAGTTCTGTTAAAGTCTCCAGAGAACCAGTGGAGGCTTCAGCTAAGTCAATGTTTCCCTGGCTGATAGAGCTTTCCCAATTCATCACAACCTACTTTTGAGATTACACTGAACCCCATCGGAATCCCAGCAGAACAGAGGTTGGGACCATTTTTTGTTGCTATTATAATCTCTCTTTCCAGCAGACTTTTCACCACTGGGGCTCTCTGATGGATAAATTCAGGTAAGTAATACATGACCTCTTATATTTATAGAGATCTCAAAATGTCTTCATATATGTTAACAAAGGATTAACAAACTCTGCAGTGAAACTTTCACTAATGGCGCAGTTCTGCAATGTGCTGTGCACCTTCATTTCTTACTGATGTCAATCAGGAGTGGCAGAAACTCCCTAAAAGTAGGGGGCACCCACACCCAAAGCATGGTCCCTTCTCCCTAAGGTCCTGCCTTCTACACACACACACACACACACACACACACACCCCTTCTCTTGTTCTTATAGCCAGTAAAAAGTGGGAAGATGTATCCTCCCACTTTTAAAATTTTTAAAGCCATGGTCCCTTGTCCACCCCCATTCCGGCACCCTTGATATTAATGTGAGTTGAGGGCATTTGGGCATTCAGCAGCACAAGATCAAGCCCTTCCAGTGACGACTTCACAATATCCCCAAGATTTCCAAGTGCAATCTGGTTTAACCTTTATTGAAGACTCACCTCAAGCAGGCAACTCTGTGGTTCCTTGCGTGGTTGCTTAAGACATGTTTATAAAAGGATCACTTCATCCACCACTGAAATGCAACTTCCCTTGTGGAAAACAAAGCAACTGTTTAATGGCACACAAGAGTACTTCATAAGAGGTTTTAAACAGAAAGTGAAGAACAAAAGAAAACAACCACCACCTAACACCAAGCAGCCTAGATACTTTCCTGCTTGTCTTAGAAAGCACTCATTTCTAATGACATATAAGATAACATCAGGGTGTTTCAGGCAAAGTGACAATGCTGGTTTAATTAATATTAAAAGACAGGGATGTCTGAGGTTTCTATGCACAAGGTTAGTTTTCAGCATGCAAGTTGCCCATTATATGGGCATGAAAAATATTGAAAATAAGAATGAAACATCACGTCCAAAAGTTTTGGAGATTATAGCACACACAGAATCCTCAATATCACACAAACAGCTTGTATCGCACTAGATGCCAACGTCAACATGGTTCTGGATTACAATTGTGTTATGTAGCAACTGGACAGTGATTAATTTTGATTGGAATTCCAACAAATATACTGAGCATTAGATCACAGCCTTGCTTTTTCTAATACCTTCACTTAGGAAAAACCTTTTAGCAAAAATGCCCGAAAGGGTACCATTGGATGACTTCATTACCATAAATCTATTCAGGCCAGTTCCAACAACAATTATGATGACATGTAGCAGTGTAAGTATAAGAGTTTTACCCCAATGATACAAGCAAGGGTACTAAGTACAAGTTTTGTGGAATTACTAATTCGTTCTACTGTCACAACTTTTACCTTTTATTTTGTGTTGAAGTCACAATGGTTCTCCTTTCTTTAGGTCTCATGTCAGGTTCAGCACTCATTCAGTGCTCTCCACTTAAGATAGTTTGCCTGAGGAGGGAGTTTGAATGTCAGGTCCTCCAGAGCACTCTTCTCCTTTTCCTGTCTCCTTCTGATGAGCTAGTCTTCTCTCACATATTAAATGGCAGATTGGGATAATGGTTAGAGTGTGGGCTTTAGCGATTGAAGATATGGGTTCTCTGTTCAACGTGGGCACGTCATGTATAAAATGGGTAATAATATTCACCATAAATATGTTTACTCTTGCAGCCGGGATTGTGGTATTCAACTGTCACAAACAGATTTCTGCTAGCGCACATCAAGCTAGCGTGCTAAAAATAATATTTTAAACATGGTATTATGGGCAGAGGCAACAACTAACCGAGGGCCCACCTTGGGAAAGTTGCTAGGGGAATGCACACTGCTTTGTTTACCCCAAGGTGTGGTATTCTGGGCAGAGGCAACAACTAACCGAGGACCCGCCTTGGGAAAGTTGCTAGGGGGATGCACACTGCTTTGTTTACCCCAAGGTTCCATAGCTTTGGAGTCTTGTGCCTCCCATTGGCTCTGGTTCGCCATTTTCAGCCAATAGGAGCCATGGGAAGTGCCGTGAGACTCCGAGGCTGTGCACCCTTTAGGTAAACAAAGCGTGTACGCCTACTAGCGTCTTACCCAAAGCGGGCTCATGAAACACTTTGAGAAACACTGTTCAAGGGCAAAAACTAAATTGGGAAACCCTGTAAAGCATTTTTCCATATCCTTATCCTTTTATGTACCTTAGAAAGCTGAAGGCTCTGTAGTCTGGAAATTTTACACAAATAACTCAAAGGCATAATTTTCACATTTTATAAATATACATTACCTTGAACAACTGCAAATATTTTGATTACTTTAACTTAAGCCTGACAAGACTGTAGCATAGAGCATGTTTTAGGAACACAGGAACCACTGTGCTCCCAGATGCCTCTGGCATCTTCCTGTACTAGAATCCAGGTAAGTCTAGCAGCTCTTTGAGGCCTTGCCCTGGATGCTCCATGTCCAGGGCAGGTAAAGGGATGTGGCTGAATTACAAACACAATGTTGACAACTCATGATGGTACTGTGATTCTTGCAATATTGAATAGTTTAAAAGCTCCAGACTCGTGGACTCATGTTTTTATTTGAGAATTTCACTTTTTTTTTCATGTTTGTAAACCTTATGGTTTAGAAAAAAGCTTGAAATGTGAGTCATTCGGGATCGAAAAATAGAAAGCAAACAAAACTATGCAAAATGTTTAAACCAATCTCAATTTTGGGGGGACTTAACTCATGAATTAATAGTTGGAGCGGACAATGTTATTAGTATTGGTACTGTCTAGTATTTGTCTTAACCTGGGAGGAGGAACTGGCTACTTCCTGCCATTAGCTGAGGGGGAGCGGAGGTGACTGGGCTTGTGATGAACGGGAGGGGCACTACCTTTTTCTGGACATTTCAGCCACTCAGTTAACTATATTTCATGTAAGGATTAATTGCACAGGGAGTGGGTCCTAGACTACAGGCTTCTTTCAGAAGAAGCTTTTTTCGGAAGAGATCTTCCAAAAAAACTTCTTCCGAAGGACACCATCCACACTGCAAAAGTACATCAAAAAAGTGATCTGCTTTTTCGAAAGAGAGCATCCAGACTGAATAGACGCTCTCTCACATGTAAGTTGTGATTACTATGGAAGGAATGGCCACCTAGGCACCTGTGCTTTTTCCTCTTTCCTCTTCTTCCAAAAGAATTCCCTCTTCCCCGTCCATACACGCCTTTTTCTGAAAGAGCTCTTTCACAAAAAGGCTTCTTCCTCGTAGAATGAGGATTACCAAAGATGGAAAAACCCCTCTGTTCTTTGGATTTTCTTGCAGAAGAACCTAATTTCAGTGTGGACGTTCCTCAAGTTTTGTCAGAAAAACGGCCATTTTTATGACAGAATTCTGTAAACATACCCAGAGAGTCTCCACAAATGCTAGGAAAGCAGAAACTGTTGGCAGGAAGCCAGGAGAGCCAATGCAAACAAAGTGTGGATTTTGAATTGGAAGCAGTGATCTTCCTGTGCCAGTCTTTGTGTGACCACCGCAGGGCTGGGACACATGAATTAAGCCAAAGAACAGGGCATGGAAGCTTCAGTGACATCCATGCCGTGGGAAAGACTAAATCTTGAAACAACAGATATACGAGTTGAACAGGGAATATTTAGTCAGTTGCGATCAGGTTATTTTTTGTGAGGGGGGGGGGAAGTTGGGTGTGTGTGTGCTGAGCTCACTTACTAGTCCCCCCTCCTCCCCCACACACACACGCACACTAAAACTTTTAAACTGAATCAAGTTGGGCGTCTCTGTGCTGAGCTCACTTACTAGCTCCCCCCCCCACACACACACACACACAAACGCACACTAAAACTTTTAAACTGAATCCCAGGGAAGCAATTCTCCGTGTTTTTAATCTTTCTTTTTTAGTTGCACTATAACACCTATCAACCAAGTAAAGTTTTAATAAGTATGTCTTCTTTGTTTAGTTAATACAAATCACTTTTTTTAAAGATCGTGATCTGATTCCTGTGTCCTAGAAAGCAGAAGATTCTGTGTGTATGTGCCTAAATTTGCAAGGTCAGCTATTAATAAAATTATCGGGGGAGGGAGGATTCGTGTTAAGTTATCTCCAGAGGGAGGGTTAAGGAACTTGAGAGTACTCTACAGGAAGAAATTCCCAAATGCATCTTCCTGGATTCTCAGAGGCATTTTTGCATTTGGGTGGTGGCAGCAGTATCATCCAACGTCAAGGCATCTGTGACCTTAGGGAGATTTTAAAACAGACGTCTTTAGTGGCAGGGTATTTTAAAGTATCTTCTTCTGCATTTGAAGAGCCAGAGTGTGGAACAGTCTTCACCAGGGCTGCTGGTCCCTATCTGGATGCCTGACCTTGGCTGTTCCTCATCTTTTTCTCCCTGATTGGGTGGACCCTGACTTTGACTGCTTCTTAGTGATCATTGATCATACTAAAACATTGTCCAGTATCTCTCCATTGGATGTTTTGTTTTTTCTAAGATAATCCTCTATATTTAGACTTACCAGTAGAGATCCAGCCTAGAATAGCACGTGTCTCAACCTAGTGTAAGTCTTCTGTTCTCCAGATCAGATGGCTGAAACTCCTAGGCAAAAAGTGGCTAAATGTAGGAGCATCTTACCCCATGCAGGAACTGTAATGGGCCTGATTTCTTTGGGAGACATTTTCAGAATGGAGAGGCTATATCTGATAAGCCTCACACATTTGTTTAATGAAATGTTTATGTTTAAAGAATGAATTGTGAAATAAATGGCCAGACTCCAATCCTGAAGAAACATTGACCTGTGTGCTCAATGAAGGAGAAACAGTAACAGAAAATGTGGAAATGGCAGAGGTGCTAAATGACTTATTTCTTTCAGTTTTCATCAAGAAGGTTGGTGGTGACTGGATGACTAACAGAGTAAATACTAGTAGTAATGGAGTAGGCGCAGAAGTTAAAATAGGAAAAGAACAAGTTAAAAATTACTTAGAAAAGGTGTCTTCAAGTCACCAGGGCCTGATGAAATTCATCCTAGAATACTCAAGGAGCTGATAGAGGAGGTATCTGAGCCATTGGTTATCACCTTTGAAAAGTCATGGAAATTGGGAGAAATTCCAGAAGACCGGAAAAGGGCAAATATAAGGATAAGCCAGGAAACTTGACCAGTCAGCTTAACTTCTGTGCCAGAAAAGATAATGGAGCAAATAATCAGGGAATCCATTTGCAAATAGAAGGTAAGGAGATAACAGAATGGATTTGTAAAGAACAAATCATATCAAATCAACCTTATAGCTTTTTTTCATGGGATAAAAAGTCTTGAGGATAAGGGGGAAGTGGCAGATGTGGTATACCTATACTTTAGTAAAGCATTTGATATAGTCCCAAATGACCTTATTAATAAATTAGGTAAATGCAACTTAGATGGGACTAAAATAAAGCAGGTGCATAACTGGTTGGATCACCATTCTCAGTTATTAATGGTTTGCAATAATGCTGGAAAGGCATAACAAGTGGGGTTCCTCAGGGCTCAGTTTTGGGACAGGTTCTGTTCAATATCCTCATCACCAATTTAGGTAATGGCATATCCAGTACACTTATAATATTTGCAAATGATACCAA